CGTTTACCGGTCCAAGGAAAAGAAAATGTGTCGACATTTAAAACGCGTGCCCAAAATGCATTCGTACTCTTCCATCCGTTTGGAATTAAGAAAATTTCATTTTAATGAATTGTGGTTCCTGTTTCGATTTGTAGTAATATATTTCGTAATTAGATCCAACTAGATCTCCCGTCTCTGTCACGCGCTACATCATTGGAAAGGTTCGTGTGGAGAGAAACGACACAGTTTCTTGAATAATTATTAGAAATGACGAGCCATTCGCGCTCCTTTAGCATTTCATTCGGGCGACCCTCCTCAGTAATGGCCTATCAATATTTGAAAAGAGTTGTATACCCTGGTCGGACGTCGCGTAGTTTTTTTCTTCCATTCGCTGATTATTGACTTGAACTGTTCCGCCGGACATCTGTTTATGCATTTTATCCAAGCGGGAAGGTGGCTAATTCTAGCATCGCTGCGCGTCCCTACATGGTGGGGCCCCTCCCCCGTTGCTTGGACACCTTGCCGTGGGTCCGTTGGCGTGGGGCATTTTGCCACTTCCCCGTGTCGAGGTTGCACGTGGCTCTATCAACGAGCATAAGTCATGCAGTACTCGAAAAAAACGAGCAACACGGCGGGTGAGTTGACTCTGTCGGCTCCCAACGGCCCAAGCCAACACCCTCGACAGTGTTCACGGTCTCGTTTGAATTACGATCGTGAACTGCACGACAGGTCCCGTCACTTCGTTGACATAAGCACCATGCTGCAAGTAACCATCCTCTTGAGGTTTCGGTCACTTGATACGTGGCTCGTGTAGGCTCTGCTCTTTGACTTCTTTATTTTTAAGTCGGTTTTCACGCCACATGTCGGGTGCCAATTTCAACATACCAAGCGAACCTTAAGTTTTGTTTTGTTTTGTTTTGTTTTTTAGATGAAATTCATTCACGTGGCACATGAGGGAATATAAGTCAAACACTGTCTTTGGATATTCTCGACAAAATGTACACAAAAAAGTGTGGGGAAAGAATAGGGCCGAGCAATTTGAGGTGACTGTGAAGTGCCTTCAATCCAACGCTGGTTAATGTGCTAACTCTACCAAGTTCATATATGTTACTGAATATGCGGAGTCAGTTCGTCTCTCCTAGTTGAAGCATCCAGACAGAGAATCTGTCATAATTGCAGAGAAGATTGCAATTATCTCAGCTCGAGATTATACAAAAAACCTGAGGCGACTTTTCTTTTCAAATACCACATAATTCTGTTGCCATGAGCGCCTCTGGGCCCGGCATTTAATCACAGGCAGTGTCCGTTTAATAGCTTGTAAAAGAAAATCGAAAGGTCTGGTGATTTCGGTGACAAAAATTTGTGAGCTGACGTCCATCTACCTTTCGCCACGAATGCCTACCAGCGAATTGTTGTCAAAGGACCATCGACCCCTCTTTGCAAAAGGCTTTGTTTTTCTCTGTGAGTTTGATATTATTAAAAAAATAGAAGCAGACCTCAGCTAGACAGAGTTCTATGACCAAATGTATACCAACCATACAAGCCGTGAAACAGCCGTTGGGAATCCCGTGCTTGGACTCCTGTTCGAAGCTTGGGCCGTGTCCGAAACGGGCTTCCAGAGCTACGGCTAGGTCTATCGTCTGCGTGTCTCCACGCATTGCCAATGGAACGAAGACCTAGACCTAGCTCTAGACAACAGATTCGGATGCGGCCCGAGTCTGTTTTACCTTGTGTGGATCATTGCACGCGGCTTGTCTTTATACATGTTTGTTTCCACCCAGGTCCTAATTACTGCTCGAGTCGAGTGCTGACGCTATCCCTGCTTCAAACTTTACTTCAGACCAGGATGTCCTGTGTGAAACGGGCTAGCCATGCGCATAAGCAAAGCGCGTCCGTGTATTCTCTCTGGGTCCGCCAATCGACGCTTTTGTTCCATCATATCTGAACGGGAACATCACGAAAATAAAAACACAACGTTTGGAGAGCACTGGAATGATGACCCTGAAGTCGTAGGTTCAAATCCACACTGCTGGAAGGATTATAATGCAGCTAGGCTCCGGCGCATTAATTGACCACTTTCATTTTCGAGGACAATTGTCCTCTGGTGGCTAGTTTTCGATCTCATAAACTAGAGCGTTAGCAGCGTAAGGTGCCCAAGGGGGGTTACTCAGTGTCGATTACCACGTTAGGCATTGGAGACACGAAGATGACTGCAGTCCACTGTCGCCCAGAATCCTCCTGACTGCCGTATTACTCTTAACGTCTCTGGAGTGGCGGCGGGAGGGATAACCCCTTTTCCTCTGTTCGGCCATAGCCTGCCGGCCGTGGCGGGAACGCTGGTCAAGTGCTGAAGTCGTCCTGCCTTGCCAAGCTGGAAGTCACGAGTTCAGGTCTCAGGGGAGCCAGCTGCAAATTATGCTCACCCGGAATGTACAGGGATAATGTCTGCTACACGGTTCCAACTGAAAACCCTTTTGCGGCTCAAAGGGAGCTATGTTGTCCGCCAAGAGGCGGAGGGCAACTTTTCAATCATTAGGTCTTGATTGACAAGAGGAGAACGCCAACCAGCGATGGGTCTTCCTAACAAGATCGAGTATGCGACCCTTTTGAGCACAACGTTAGACCGAGCACCTGCTAGACGCCTGCTCAAATAGAAAGGTCAACCTCAAGTGCTTTTTCAATGTGCCCGCCTTTCCTCAAAGGACACTGCGACAGGCAACAGCCGTCGCACTGGCAGTGCAAAGGCTGACGGAACGTGCAATTACTCTTGGCTTTAACAGTGCCCTCAGCACACTGAAGGTGCTGGACGTTATTTCTCCCGTGCTTGCAGGCAAAACAACTATTGTGTCATCTTTAAATTTGCCAATTTGACATGTAACAAAATAGAGGAACATCTTGAAGATTACCAAAAGGTCAAGGAAGTAGCTTGAAAGGATGATATTTTCCATGTTTTCTGCCTGTACCTGTCCACCTGAACCTGTAGTATGGCACCTGATAAACCACGCGGACTGCCTTTCTAGTCTCGAGTCTCTCTGCATAATGCCAGGAGCTGTGTCACAAACGGGCACCGTCTTCGGCTACGGCTTTCACAGTGGCGCGCGAAAGGAATCAATAGCCATTTGAGGTATTTTCGGAGAAGTGAGACTTTTCTTCCACTCTTTCAACTGTCACATTTTCAACTGTCTTGACTTCTGGGTTGCTTAGGGTGCCAGTTGAAGCCTGCATTTCAGGAAATAAGTGGTTTCATGATAACTTCATTAACAAACGGCCTTATCCAAAAGATCAGTGAACTATTGAGTTTTTGCCAAAGGAAATTTGATCGCACTCAAATTTAAACGAATTGCTCGAGATGTAAGACAATGGTACGGTAAGTCCTTTATAAATTGATTTTGCTTTGACTACCCGGATACAGCACCACCGACAGCGTTTTACACAACTCCCTAAGGCAATCTGAACATGGTGATTCTGCGGTGCACAATAATGCGTGATTTGATGCGCTGTTTTGACCGTCCAAGTCCCCCGATGATGTCGAGCTCAATTAGCAATTCGCTTTTTCGTTTCGGCGGGCCTAATATGCCCGACTTGCTGGCTACACTTACGGAAATAATTGGGGTCGAGAAGACCTTGAAGCAAGGTACTTTGTTCATCAATTACTGACTAAAGGTCCGTTTCATTGATGTACATCGACGGGACACTTTCTTGCACCATCTGTGTGTTGAAACGAAGGGTGAACGGAGAAGGGGCATCTGAAAGCGCACTCAACTCATCGCAACTGACGTCAACAGTTATTATCCAATCAGCGAGTGTCTGCTTTCATCAAAACTTCACTCTTCGGTGACGGTGATGTATGTGATAATTCCGATCAAGTTCTTCCATGAATGCAACTTTTGTTCAGAAGAGAGCTCTTTACGTTGAGACAGTATGCGTACCATCGAAAAAAAGTTTCATGGTCATTATCCATAGTACAAATGTATACCGAACATTTACGTCAACAAGGAGCATTTTCGTCGACGTTTTTAAGACGTGAAAAAAGGGCATTGAAGTTACTTTCTTTATTAATTTCCAGTTCCCACAGTTCATGTTCCCCAAATCTTAAGTGGTTTCTTTTCACGTGAAATTTGATTTTAAATCGCAGATTAACATATTTCAAACTTCGTTAAAATACTAAATATTGAGCAATTGATTTGCTCGTCCGGTCGATCGTGAGAAGCGGAACGTTTTCCGTTAATTCTGAACTCTTCATGAAAATCACGGCTCCCGCCCCTTAGTGGAGGTAAAATTAACGCTTGTAGTCTTACCTGACCTACAGAGTAATAAGTGACTCAAAGTGGAATGCAGTCATACCCTGGCAAGACGCATAATATAGACAGTCAAGTCGATGCTTCTTTCTTTTGTATAGACTCGTTGTTGCTCAATAAGCCACTTGCCAGTTAAATTTGAATAAAATCTGGTACACTGTGTTATCTGATTGCACAGGAACGTAACAATTTGAATTCCCCAGACTAAAGACACTGTTGCTATACCTCGTGATTCGGGACAAGCTTTTCCATAGCAACCACCATCTCTGGAATGGACTGGTTCCTTTGTGCCATTCTTATCCATTGAGAACAGTGTATTGTTGCAAGGCGTCTCTTGTACTGATTCCTTCCAAACGGTTAGCCATCGAAGTGCAATCTTCCATTCATGCAAGGCGCACTACGTACATATTTACGCAGAAGTGTGCTGGATAGCAACCGCTCACGACTTACTTTACTTTTAAACAAGTAAGTAAATCAGAAGTCGAGTTTCAGAGAATCGCAGACTAATGCTTTTAATAATAAAACGACCAATTGCCATTATTTGGATGGTCTAACCCTGCTGGACCCTTTTTTAGAACATCCTAAACCATGAAGAGTACAAGTTCGTCTGCTGCCACCAAGTGTCAAAAACTCGCATATCAGCAATAGGCCTCGACATTACACATGTATTGTGTCAAAATGCAATGCAATTTATGTGGACAAGACAAGATCATGCTAACTTACTTGCATCATGTAGAACACGAATTTGCACATGAACTGCCCGAAGAGCCAGCTGTGCGTGGCATATAAAGAGGCGGTGAAGGGAGCGCAGCACACCAGGAAGGAGATGTCTGTAATGGCCAAATTCACTATGTAGTAATTGGTAACCGTCTTCAGGTGGCCCTGGCACACAATGACGTAGACAACGATAGAATTACCAACCAGGCCAACCACCGTGATCACAGCTATGATGAGGGGCACCAGTATGGGGTAGACATCTCCGGGTATACCCAGATCTTCCGAAGGGCTTAGGGACAAGGTTGCGTTGAGGATGGTGTCAGCCACCGCTGCTGCGTACTCCATCTTGATTGGCTGGAGATCGTATAAGTTAGCAGTTCAAATTCTGTAATGAAAATTAAGTGGAAACAAAAAATGTGAAATACTTTAAAGTATACCTGTTACTCATCTTTAACAATTAAGTTTGACGCACAAGTTGTGAGTTTACTCATCAACGACATTAAGCTCCAAAGCTTTGATCCAGACAAGATGTCCGAATTCACATCTTATGTGCTCATGAGGAGAGACGACAATTCTGAAGAGATTCTGAAATCGCATCGGCCTATGCGGTTCGCTGACAAGTTCGCATGCGGATTCATCACAGGGTGAGAGTTATTCAGGTTGCTGTTCAATGCGACTTCGTGCCATGCCTT